CATGCTGCCTGGGGAATTCTATTGAAGTCCATATGTCATAAAATTGTCAAGGTTTCGATGTGTTTTTAAATTGTAAATTTAATAAAATCTATTTTAAAAAAAATTGTCAAGGTTGGACACCCCTGGTTTACAGCCATAGGAAATATTATAATTATTGACCCTATGAATCTTCAGCTGTTTTCATCAACATCATACAACTGAGAAGGAAAAGAGTTAGACTCTTCTACAATAACCTTTAAACAACTTGCATTGCACAATATACAAGTGTATGTATAATATGAACTGATCATTCAGCTCCAACCACACGTATTTGGGTGGAATACCCACCGGCCTCCAAAGAAGCACAAATGAATCCAGTAGGAGTTACTCACAAACAAGCCACTTCATGCCCCAAGTGTTATGCTACAAACTTTTTTTTTAAAATTAGCATTCAAATTAGGGTGCAGTTGTGGTCTATTAAAAAAACACTGGCAGGTGAAATTAAAATGGATCTTTGATTGGCTCAATCTAATAGAACAGCTCTTCTCAAATCTTTTAGATTCAGGATCCTTTTATAGTATTAAAACAAACTCTGGGCCCAAAGAGCTTTGCTTTATATGGTTATGTCTATCAATTTTACTCTATTAGAAATGAAAACAAATCTGGAAAGAAATTTTTGTATTTGGGGCAACCACTGAAAGGGTCTTGGCTAGGGGTTCCCAAACCAGACTTTGAGAACCACTGTGACAGAATATTACTTTACATTTTATTTACATCCTGCCTTTATGACTTTTATAAATAAGTCATGACCAAACATGCCAAGTCATCCTCCTTCCTCCTCCATTTTTCTTAACAACAACAACCCTTTAAGGTATGCTGGCCTGAAGAAGCTCAAAATCATCCATCTGGCTTTTATGCCTAAGGTAGGACTAGTACTCATTATCGCCTGGTGATTCACCCAGTTAGCTTTCATGCCTAAAGCAGGCCTAGAACTCACTAGGTTTCTAGCTTGGTGCCTTAACCACTAAACCAAAGTGGCTATTTATTAGTGTAATTGGAAGAAATGTATAGCTCTTACTGGCTTGCAAATTGAGAATGCTACACTTATTTTGCTGCAACTCAAGGTGTGTTCTCACAATTTTTGCCTGGAATTTGTAATCCAAATCAAACGGGACTTTCACATTACTGCTGGTATGTTGCTTGTACCCATAGATGGATTTCCTTGTTCTACAGAATCAATTGTTAACAGTTTTCTTGGAAAATGGTAGGGTTTTTTTCCTGTACTATTTTTGGGCTGACTTAGCAAAGTCTGTAAAACTATCACGCAATGTGTTTATTTTTCCATCCTGAATAAATCTACTGTGCTTTGAGTGTGTAATACAGTATTTCCCAACTGTGGCAATTTGAAGGTGTGTGTATTTCACATCCCAGAATCCCCCAGCGAACATGCTATGCCTTAGGATGGGTGTGGACTTACACTTCAAGAATCCCCCAGCCAGCAGGCTTGAAAAGGGGTGGATTCCACTCCCAGAATCCCCCAGCCAGCATTCTTTACAATGGGTGGACTTCTACTCCCAGAATCTCCCTGCTTGAAGAGGGGTGGACTTCCACTCCCAGAATTCCCCAGGTTTACTAGGGATTTCTGGGAATTGAAGTCTACAGATCTTTACTTTGCCAAACTATACAGGAATGTATTTCTTGGCAATGACAGTTGATTTAAGGACTCAAGTTTTGGCTACAGAGTAGCATGGTGCGTGAACAAGGCTGTGTTGTGTATGAACTTGCCAATATGGTTAGGACTGAAGCCAAAATCCTTGAGCAAGTTGCTAACCCAAACCCACCCATATAATTAACGTTGTGCAAAAGAGTTTTTGCTGATTTTCAATTAAGGGCTAATTAAATTAAGTTGCCCTTTAATTCCAGGAGACTTTGCCCCTCCCTCTCTTCCTTGTCTTGATTTCTTAATGAATTTAGGCAAGAATGCTATATTCTAATTGGTTGTAAGGGGGGGGGTACTGATTTCCCGCTCTCCAATGGTGTTGGGGAGGGCTGCTCACCGTTCCTGCTCTCTGATTGGGCGTGACCTCATCCTCAAGTACAGCCGGAAGTATCTAGCCCATAGATTTAAGAAAGTGAAGAGAGTTATCTCTTGCTGGGATACCCAGATGCAAAGTTTACAGAAGAAGCCTTTTTTTGGGGGGGTTTATTATTCCGGGGAATAGAATTCAGAGCCTTCATGGATTGAAAGAGGTTAAGCAAAAGTTGCAAAAATTTGTCCAGAAAGAACAATCTTATTTCTAGCCGACCGTATAGAAAAGAGTTATTTTAATCAGTTTTTTAAAAGTCTATGTTTTGATTGCAGATCTACTTGAATATTAATATATGGCGCCGTTTAAAAATAATAATCATCAAAAGCCAATAAAATTCTTCAATTTAGAGCTGGAAGCGCTGGAAAATATAGTATATTTTGCCAAAACAAGTTTCTAAAGGATCATGTCGCAATATCTTTCGCACGTGTCTCTCTATACTTTTTTTTATGTCTATAGTCCACCAGGTCCCTACAAAGCCCCCCCCCTTATCGCCTTCACCTCAGAGGCCGCCTGAGTTGCTCCTTCCCATTGGCTGGCTGCTCGGGGCCACGCCCCTCCACCTTGGCATCCCTATTGGCCAGCGCGCCTCTCCGACTCTTCTCCCGCCCCCCGCCCCCCCCCGCCTCGCCGCCCGAAGCGTCCCCACCGTAGAGTTCGCTTTAATTGGTGCCGCACGGTCCTGGAAGGGGTGTAGTCGATTTTTTCCTACCTCGAATCGGCTGGCGCGCTTCCTATGGAATTCACTCTGTCTCTTTCCCCTTCGAAGAGTTAACAGCTAGCCAGGAGCCTGTCGGATGAGCGGACGGGAGAATTTCTAAAGCGCTGCCCCGGTGAGTTTTTTTTTTTTAAGTGGGCGAAAGGGCGTCGGCGGGGTGCTGCCAGGACCCCGCCTCGCGAGGGCGAGGAGGGGCGGAGCCTCGGAGAAGCCGGAGGGAGGGGGCTCGGAGGGAGGGGGGGGAGAGAGTCAAGATGGCGGCGGCTGAGGAGGAGGAGGTCTCGCTGCCGCCGCCGCCGCCGCTGGTGCCACCGACGCCGCCGAGGAATTGCAGGATGAGGTGAGGCCAGGCCGGGTCCAGCGCGGCTTCTTCCCGGGAGGGGCACTTCCGGCTTTCTGGTGGTGGTGGGGGGGACGAGAAGGAAAAGGAGGGCGGAAGAGGCGGGGGGGGGGGGGGGGCGGGGGGGGGGGGGGGGGCGAGCGGCAATCTGACAGGTCGAAGGGGGGAAGCGAACGGACCCCTCCACTCGAGGTATGCCGAGGCGCCGGACTACACCTCCCATCGCTCCCCGCCTGCGCGGTTCTGTGCACGTGCGCCGGGACTACACCTCCCATCGTTCGCAGCAGCAGCAACACCTCCCAACTTGAATTCGTATTCCCCATATGACTCCCACCGGCCCCCGGACGGCAGCCCTATTTATTTACTTTGTATTCCTTTCCCCAGCCCTGTGTTTGGTGCCTTGGATTACAATTCCCATCGTCCCTAGCCTCACACGCCCCCAGAATCTCCGTAGATCTAGAGGTTGGGGATGATGGGATCCCATTACAACTCCCATACTCCCCAACTTCACCTTCCTCCAGACTCTCCACCGATCTAGAGTTTGGGGCTGATAGGATCCCATCGTCCCCCAACCTCACACCCACACCTGGATCTGCCCATATTTTTTTTGCTGCTTCGCTTGGCAATTTCCATTCTGGCTCCCTATTCATCTGGGTGCCAGATCCCATCATCCCCAGCTCCTATCCCTATTTTTTTTTCTCCCTTCAAGAGGTTTGAGACAGTTCCCATTATCCCCCCCCCCCCCCCGGCTGCCCTTTCAACCCTTGGCTGCTCTTCCATGGATAGGACGCCACTATATCATCGTCCGCAGCCCTGAATCTGCAGCAGCTCCCATCATCCCCGGCCAGCCTACGTTTCCCCCAGCTTTTGGTGTCAGATGGTAACCTTAGAATTTGCTCTTGGCATTTCCTTTCTTGTAGTGATGGTAATTGGAAAGCTTCAGCCTGCCTACCGTGCAGGCTTTGGTTGTTGGGAATGATGGAACTTAGAGTCTTTATGGAACCGACAAGCGTTTGTGAAAGGCTGGATGGGGCTGCTTGGAAGAGAGAATAAATGTCTGATGTAGGAGCAGAGAGGCTTGGCTCTATTTACCTTTGTTTATTGGCATCCCGACTTTATTATTTTTACAAATAACTCAAGGCAGAGGTGATACCCAACACACACACATACACACACCCTCCTACTTATTTTCTCCACAACAACACCAACCCTGTGAGGTGGGTTGGTCTGAGAGAGAGAGAGAGAGAGGGACTGGGCCAAAGTCACCCAGCCTGCTTTCAGGCCTAAGGCGGGACTAGAACTCACCGTCTCCCGGTGATTGGCCCAGAGTCACTCAAGTTGGCTTTCATGGCTAGAGCAGAACTAGAATTCACCGTCTCCTGATGATTGACCCAGAGTCACCCAGCCTGCTTTCATGCCGAAGGCGGGACTAGAACTCACCGTCTCCTGGTGATTGGCCCAGAGTCACCCGGCCTGCTTTCATGCCTAAGGCGGGACTAGAACTCTCTGTCTCCTGGTGATTGATCCAAACTCCAAAGTCACCTAGCCAACTTTCATGGCTAAGGCAGGACTAGAATTCACCATCTCCTGGTACTTGACCCAGAGTCACCCAGCTTGGTTTCATGCCTGAAGCAGGACTAGAACTCATTGTCTCCAGGTGATTGACCCAAAAGTCACCCAGCCAGCTTTTGTGCCTAAGCCGGGACTAGAACTCCCAGTCTCCTGTTTTCTAGCCCAAACCTTAGGCCTCCGCCCTCCCTTTCAGCATAAAGGTCCAGGAGGAAGGTGCTTTACTAGGTGGTGGAAACCTTAGTTCACCTTTCTCTCAAATACAAAGGGGGCTAGGACCCTCTCCACAAGGTTCACGGGGAGGAATACTAGACGGGGTGTCTGTGCTATATAATATTTTGAATTTTAAAAAAGCCACAAATCCTCGACTTGAACAACTAGAATTTCCATTGCTGAGCGAGTTGGGCATTAAATGAGTTATATTTTACCACCTTTTTGTCCTGGTGGTTAAGGGAATCCCTGAAGTTTTTAAATGAATCACATGGCTGTTAAATTGAATCCAACCCTCCCCAATTGCTTGTTGGTTGCCAGCTGGCAAGATCACAAGGAACAATCATGTGGCCCAGGGAGGCTGCAGAACCGTTGTAAATACTCACTGGTGGTGTATTTGTGCCCAAATTTTGTTCAGGTGACCTTGGGCGTGCTGTGATCGTTGTAAGTGCGAGTAGTGGTTACAAGTCTTTTTTCTCTCTCTCTCCAGTGTTGTGGTAACTTAAAATGGTTGCTAAATGAACAGAGAGAACTTGAACTAGTTCAGCTCAGAGAAATTAAAAAAAAAAAATTATGCCATAGTCTTGGGGGTGTTTTTTTAAGCTGCATTTACAGGCCATCCTCGACATACAACCAGAATTGAGCCCAAGGCTTTTATTGTTATGCAAGACAGCTTGTTAATTGAGTTTTGCCTCATTTTATGACCTGCCTGGCAGGAGTTGTTCAGGGAATCCTTGCAATTGTTTCAGTTAGGAACAGGGCGGTTAAGGGGATCTGCCTTCCCCTTTGACTTCGCTTATCAGAAAAGTCACAAAAGGGGATCCCATGACCCCAGGGCCCTGCAACCGTCATAAATATGAACCAGTTGCCAAGTGTCTGAATTCTGAATCTGAATCAGGTGACTGTGGGGATGCTATAATAGTCGTAAGTGTGAAAAACACTCCCAAGTCACTGTTTTCAGAGACTACCTGTAGTTACACAAACTCTAGCAAAGCTACTCACTGCTGACCTCCCACTCCTCCCCTATGGCTGCTTCCCCCCCCCCCCCCCTTCTTCATGCACGCCCTTGGTCAGCCATTCCCAACCTGTCTTCACATCAACTATCCCACCTCCAGCATTTTCCTGACTGCTCCAGCTGCACTTTCCCAATTCTTGTAAGTTGCACAGGCAAAGAACGGGACAAGGGAGCGTAGGCAGCCTGCCTTGGGTTTCTCTAGTTTAATGCAAAGAAGGACTAGCGGGGTAGAGATAAGAGCAGTCTTCCAGTATCGGAGGGGCTGCCCCAAAGAAGAATTGTGTGTGTGTGTGTCAACCTAATTTTCCAAAGCATCTGAAAGTAGGACAAGAAATAGTGGATGGGGGACTCATCAAGGAGAGAAGCAAGCTGGAATTAAGGAGAAATTCCCTAACAGCCAGGACAGTTAACCAGTGGAACAGCCTGCCACTAGAAATCATGGGTGCTCCAGTGATAACTGGAGGTTTTTAAGAAGAGACTGGACAAGTCACCTGTCTGACATGGAATAGGGTCTCCTAGCATGGGCCTCTAAGGTCTCTTCCAACTCTGTTATTCTGCTTTCAATGTCTCGGAAAGGACAGGAAAAAAAAAGAATTAGAATTAGAATTCTTTTTATTGGCCAAGGGGGGGGTTGGACACACAAGGAATTTGTCTTGGTGCAAATGCTCTCGGTGTACATCAAAGAAAAGAGACACTTGTCAAGAATCATAAGGCATAACAGTAAATAATAGTCATAGGGTACAATAACCAATCAAATCATACTAGGAAACAGCCCAGTATAATATAAAATATAAAAAAGTGAATACAGGCAGTCCCTGACTTACAACAGTTCGTTTAAAGCAGGGTTGTCCAACCTTGGCAACTTTAAGACTTGAGGAATTCTGGGAGTTGAAGTCCACAAGTCTTAAAGTTGCCAAGGTTGAACAACCCTGGTTTAAAGTAACGGTTCAATGGTGCTGGAAAAAGGGATTTTATGAGCAAATGGCTCATGTGATCTGCTGTCCTCGGGACAGGGTGGATGGAAGTTAGGGAGTGCTTTATTGATTGATTGATTGATTGATTGATTCCAGATTTCGTTCTCTTGTACTTTATTAATTTATTTGATTCGTTTTGTTAGGTTTTATTGGTTTTTTTATTTTTTTATTTTAATTTTAAATATGGTTGTACATTCTGTAAGCTGCCTTGAGTCACCATGGGCAAATAGGAGGCAATATAAATTCAATAAATAATAATAATAATTATAATTTTCCACATTTAACGACCATTGTACCATCCCCAGGGTCACGGGATCAAAATTCAGAGGCTTGGCAACTGACTCCTATTTATGACGATCGCAGTGTCTCCCGCAGTCACGCGGTCCCCTTTTGCGACCTTCTGACAAACAAAGTCCATGGGGAAGCCAGATTCATTTAACGACCGTGTGATTAACTTAACATCTGCAGTGATTTGCTTCACAACTGCGGCAAGGAAGGTTGTAAAACGGGGCAAAACTCACTTTAACAAATGTCTCACTTAACAACAGAACTTTGGGTTGTTAAGTCGAGGACTAACTATACTCCAGGGTCACCTTATTAGGGATATGGACAGTATATAAATAGAATAGAATAGAATTATTCATTGGCCAAGTGTGATTGGACACATATTTGTCTTTGGTGCAAATGCTCTCAGTGTATATAAAGGAAAAATAAAATACATTCATCAAGGATCATAAGATACAACACTTAGTGATAGTCATAGGTTACTAATAAGCACTCAAATCATACTAGGAAACAAAACAATATAAACTGTAAAGATACAAGCAACACGGTTATAGTCATAAGTGGAAAGAGGTTGGTAATAGGAAGGATGAGAAGAAGAATAGTAATGCAGACTTGCTAAGTAATTGGACAGTGCTGAGGGAGTTAGTTGTTTAGCAGAGTGATGGCATTCGGGGGAAAAACTGTCCTTGTGTCTACCTGTTCTGGTGTGCAGTGCTGTATAGCATCGTTATAAGAGTAGGAGTTGAAACAGTTTATGTCCAGGATGCAAGGGGTGTGTAGATATTCTGTAGAAATAATGTATAAAGGCTGTAGGGGGGGTGGGGATAGAGCTTACATATTTTAATTGGAAGGTTTGAAGTGATGCAAAATAAAATCCTAAACTGGACAGACTGTATCAGTAATTCAGACAGACAGATTAACAAAGTTGGAAGGGACCTTGTAGGTCA